TTTTTTTTTTTTTTTTTTTTTTTTTTTTTTTTGAGACAGGTTCTCACTCTGTAATTTAGGCTAGCTTTGAACTCACTGTGTAGTCCAGGCTGGCCTCAAACTCGTGGTGATCCTCCTGCCTCAGCCTCCCAAGTACTGGGATCACTGGCTTGCGCCCCCACACCTGGCCTCGTTTCAATTTGGATGTCAAATTTTTTTCAAAAATACTTGATCTACATTTAGAGTTCTCTAAACTTACAATTGAAAAGGTAATTTACATATCATGATTTTTCCAAACATACATGGTAGTTTTCTGGCAACTGGAATTGCATATCAGCTTTTAAAATTTAAAATAATTTTTAAAAATTTAAAATAATTAAAATTAAATTTTGTTCCTTTGTCACAACAGCCATATTTTAAGTCAGTGGTCTCATGTGGACTTTTCAGGCCCAGGCAGGCATATCCTACTTAATATCATTTAGTAAATGCCTGTTGCCTATAGAATAAAGTGCAAAGGCTTCATGACCACCACCTTCATGTAGCCAGCCCTTCAGCCCACCCTCAGCCTCTGTACTCCAGCAGGGCTGGACTCAGTTCAGTTATTCCACATGCACCCGCTCTGCCTGACTCACCCACTCAGTGCAGGATTCAGTGTGGGTATCTTAACTGCCTCCAGGGAGGGTTTCTTTTGGCACAGTAACAGTATTGCACCCTTTCTCTGGCTGTCTTTCATCATTAGACTGTGAGTTGTGAGGGTTGGGACTGTTTGTTTTTCCTGTATTTCCAGATTGGCACCTTGAATATACAGTGTAAATGTTGAATGCTTACTCTGTGGTTGTTGGCAGCAGCGGTAATGGTGATGGTAAAGGAATGGTGCTTCCTGTGGGAGACAACTACCAGCAAAGGATATGAAGGGGCATTTTGTAGAAGTCATGGAAGGGAACAGCCTGATGAGTAGGCAGTTTGTTAGGGGAAGTAAGACTCATGGTCAACATTTAAAGGATGCATCCATCTCCTGGGCCAGGCATTATGTGCAAAGGAAAGTAAACCTGGACAGCCAGATGATGTGACTTTTAACCACTAAAGAAATCAAAAGCTAGGGTTAGTTTACTTGCTAAGGATCACACAGCTAATAGGTGAACCCAGGATTCACATTTGAACAGCCTAATTTCACTTACATTGTTAGTATTCACAATATGGGTATAATAGGGTTAAGTTCTCTTGGCTGAAAGGAATCAGTATGAGGAAAATTTTAAAGGAGAGCAGATAGAAAACTGTTGCAATTTAAATTTGGAGTGTTTAAAAGTTTTTTCTGAGGTTTTGATATGGTCAGTGCCTTGTATGGAGCACAGTTCCAGAACAGGAGCTCCTTTTTAAACCTAATGAAGTAGGCACTATTATTATCAGTATTTCATAATGAAGAAAGTTACACTTTGTTAAAAAATACCTTTACATGGAACGGGGATTTAGCTCAGTGGTTCTGCCGCCTGCCTTGCAAGCACAAGGATCCAAGTTCAATCCCCCGTATCAAAAAAATCCCCCAAAACAAAAAAAAACCTCTACAAATTTATAAGCATTTAAGTTGAAATATATATATTTTATATATATGGTTATTAATAAGTTTAGAACTTGGGACTGTATCATGTATTATTTTATAATCTTTTTATCTGTATTTTTTTATATCCTTAAACCATCTTTTGGGGGCTTCTAATTATTGTATTATATTTTGACATAACTAATTTATGTGGTATTAAGGACATTTACTCTGCATATAGTTTTTCACTATTACAATTAAAACAATGGTAAGCTATTTGTCATAGGTCTTTATTGTTGCTTGTGATTTTCATAGCCTATATTTCTATTGCATAATTACTAATTTAGAGGACATGCACCCAAAGCTTTTGATGCATATTACCAAATTGTGTAATAGAACATACTCTCCCATTCTTCTCTGAGTGTTTAAGGGGTTCAGTTCCCTTATTCCTTGCTAGTCTAGGGATTCTCATTTTAATAAACTTGTACTAACTTGTTGGGTGAAAAGTACCATATTTGAATACTCTTCATCTTTGTATTTAGTAGGGACTTACTCAGTGTTTAATGAATAAACCATTTTGAGTTTTTGGTCATATAGTCTTTTTCCCTCTCTAATTAGCAAGTTTTTAGAATTAGCGTTTTAGAAATTGCAACTTCTAATAAAAGCCACTGGAAAACACAATCTTTCATGCTCAGATATGACAGTACAGTCATGAGTTGCTTATTGATGGGAATATGTTGTAAGAAATGTCTTATTAGGCAATTTTGTTGTGTGACTTCACAGATGTACCCATGAAAACTAAGATGTCTATGACATCACCAGGCCATAATCTTAATAGTACTGCTACTGCACATGAACAGTGTATATTGTGTATGACTTGCTATTGGTACCAAGTGAGCCTCTTATGTTAAAAGGCATGGATGGGTAGCTCCTTGATGTTTTGCTGCTTTGGAGGTTTGGTGTACCTGGCAAAGGTAGTTTTATTTTCAAGTTCTTGGCTCTAAATCAGTGTTGGAATAATGAAGTCAATAAGCAGATGAGTAAGATGATATATGGTATGGTATATTCTCTTATTGCTTGTCTATATATCTAGGATT